TAAGGTGCCTTGAAAAGACTGTAGGTGGAATTATGGACAAAGACAGTTCTGGTGAGAGCTCAGAAGGAAGTGAGGAGAACTGTAACACCAAAGACAGAGAAGACAGTGAGGCCTGAGGGGCCGAGAGGCCAAGAAACCAGGAAGCAGAAACTGAAGAGAAAAGGAACATAGGAAACAGAGCTGCCTCAGTCTCAAAGAGTAGGGCCATGATCCCTGGGGTCTCAAAGTGTGGAGCCATGGCTTCTGGGCTTCAAAGGGTGGGGTCACAGCCTCCTGGGTTTCAGAGTCAGATCTTCACCAACTCGGTTCTGGAGTGTGGAGCTGCCATTCACAAGTACCGGTGGGATGGGACCAGATCCGCTGCCCAAAACTGAGGGAGCAGGGCTGCCGTGCCCAAGGGGCAGAAGAACGGGGCCTGCCAGGGCTGAGTGGGTAGGGTCGCCACTCAGATGGACTAGGAGAATGGGGCCGCCCAAAGCTAAGGGAGCAGAGATGCTGTTCCAGTGGGCCTGGAAGGTGGAGCTGAAGCCCAGGGCTGAAGGGCCTCCACCTAGAATCCAGAGAGTGTGGCCAACACCCAGAGTCTGGCGGGCAGGGCCATTGCCTAAATGATCTCAGAGAACAGAGGATTATTTTCAAGACTTGAGAGCAAATGTAATGTGTTCTGCTGACTTGGTTGGTGCCTGTTATCCCTTCTTTCCCTCCAATTTATCCCATTTGTAATGGAAATGTCTACCTTGTGCCTGTTCCATTATTGTACTTTGGAAGTAGATAACTTATATTCTAGATTTCATAGATGAAGAGGAATTTTTCAGAAGATGAGATTTTGGACTTGGAGATGATTTAAGACGTTCAGGATGATATGATGGGGTAAAATGTGTTTTACATGTGGCAAGGACATGAATTTTTCGGGGCCAAAGGGTGGAATGTTATGGATTGAATTGTGTCCCCCCAAAATGTATGTCAACTTGGCTAGGCAGTGATTCCCAGTCTTGTGTGATTGTCCACCATTTTGTCATCTGATGTGATTTTCCTATGTGTTGTAAATCCTACCTCTATAATGTTAATGAGGCAAGAATAAAGACAGATATGTTAACGAGGCAGGACTCAACTACAAGATTAGGTTGTATCTTGAGTCAATCTCTTTTGAGATATAAAAGACAGAGGTGAGCAGAGAGACAGAGGACCTCTGAGAATGAAGAAATAGGAGGGAAGCATGTCCTGTAGATTGTGGTCCCTGTGCTGAGAAGCTCCTAGACCAGGGGAATATTGAGAACAAGGACCTTCCCCCAGCGCTGACAGAGAGAGAAAGCTTTGCCCTGGAGCTGTCATTCTAAATTCAGACTTCTAGCCTCCTAGACTGTCAGAGAATAGATTTTTGTTTGTTAAAGCCATTGTGATGGTTAAGATTGTGTGTCAGCTTGGCTGGGTCATGATTCTCAGTGTTTTGGCAGTTGTGTAATGTTGTGATCACTTCCCTGTTGAGATTTGATATGTGATCACCCCCATAATGGGATCTGCTGTGAGTAGCCTATCAGTTGAAAGGGAGTTTCCTTGGACGTGTAGCCTGCATCAAATATAAGTGGACATTCTGGCAAAGCTCAAGGGCTTTTTGCTTGCACTGGATCCTGCAGCTGGCTCCTGTTTGTCTGACCTCCAGTTTTTAGGACTTGAGCTAGCAGCTTACCTGCAGTCTTGCCTGCTGATCTTGGGATTCATCAATCTTCGCAGCCTGCGAGCAAGAGCCCTTCTCTCTGACCTGCTGATCTTGGGTTTGCCAGCCCCTGCAGCTATGTGAATTAGGAGAAGCCTCTATCCTGACCCATGGACTTGGGATGCTCCAGCCTCTACAACTGCATGAGCTATTTCCTTGATATAACTCTCTCTCTCTTTCTATATATATATACACTTTACTGGTTTTGCTTCTCTAGAGAACCGAGCCTAAGATAGCCATCTGCTTGTGGTATTTCTGTTACGGCAGTAGTAGATAACTAAGACAGGAATTTGGAAAAGACATTTCTTCCAGAGGAAGGAATTAGGGAAAACTTCATGGAGTAAACCACAGTTGAGCTGTCTTGAAGCTAAAGCTTATTGCCCAAATCACATATACTTTTGTAACAAATTTCATCTTGAAAGTATGTTCGGGTAGATTCATTTGAGGCCTTGCCCTTGCCCTTCTCCCTTTCACAGAGTCTTCTTCATATTATTAAAAGCAGTGTGCTCCTATAGGGTCGCTATGAGTCAGAATCGACTCAATGGCAACAGGTTTGGTTTTTGTTGCTCCTCACAGGTTGGGCCTTAGCTAAGTCTTGCTCAGTCTGGTTTACTGGGCAGGGAAGGTGAGATGCAGGAGTGGCATCTTACCAGGTTTGGCAGCCTCAGGCTCTGAATAGTTTGGTTGTGGTGGCAAGGCCCAGACTTCCTAGCTGTGTGTACCCAGGTCACGATCACTCTCACCTGCTCTGATGCCTAGTGGAAACAAGGCCACCTTTGGGATACGAAGCCTCCAAAACTGAAGTTTTGTGCTCAGTTTGTAACTTAAAATTATAGAAGTTGTTTTTCAGCCTTTGAGGCAGCCAAAAATAGTCTTTATTACAGAAAATGATTCTTGACAGCACAGTATTTTCCCAGAAGTATCAGCAGACAAGGGGAAAAACAAACAACTTTGCAGTACACCCTCTCACTTATTGGCATGGTTAGTTTCCAAAGGCCAGGTCATTATGTGAAATTGGTGTTATGTGAAAATGGAGGATGACCACATCAAATCACAAAATGGAGGATGACTACATCATTACATAATGGCCAAGTTACGTTACATAACTGCCAAACCACTGAGAATCATGGCCCAGCTAAGTTGACACATAACCTTAACCATCAATACTAGCATTACTCTTGCCTCGTACCTTGTCGTTTGTACTGCCAGACGTATGTCATTAATGAGCAAAATAGTTGGATAGTAGATTTTTTACTATTGTCGTAAATGCGAAATGTTGGATGTGATATAGTCGATAAGTGAGAAGAATGTGTAGAATTAATTAGGACCTAATGAGGCAAATAGTCAAGAGATGGTGTCATGAATATGCAGGAGGTGAGCTTTTTTAAGGCTGAGAGCTGCCACCTGTCGAGGTGGTCTAAATCAGAATTCTGGCAGAAGCACATTATTTATTTGACAGTAAGTGTGAGTGAAACTCAGTCTCCTCTACATACCTAATTTAGGAATGTAGTCATTAAATCCCCACACTGTGACTCAGTTCAGAAGATACAAGTGAAAAATGATTTAACTCACTAAGAGATTTGGAAATTTTCTTCAAGACTATAAACTCACAGCAAAATTGGCTGAGATGTGGGATAGCAGCCAAACTTGATAACTTTCACATCTTTCCCCCTACTTCATTGTAAAAGATTTTGGCTTGGAAGATGCTTAGTCTAGCATTTTCCAAGAAAAGAAAATCAACAACATTGATATGTATATAATGATTCTGCAGCACTGGACCAGAACTTACAATTTTATCTGTAGGGAGGGGAAATGGAATTTCATGAGTGATTATGTTGAAACATGCCTGTAGACTTAAGGACTTAATATAAGTTACATGTCTGTCAAGGAAAATATGAATTATAAGAGAGGAAAAGTCCTGACTTTAGTTCTTGGATCTGCCACTGATTTAACATAAAGTCTCGAACCAATCTTTGTGCCTCATATTTTCCATAGATGAGAATAATGTTACCACAAATGTATCATAGGCTTTATAATCATTTTTATAAGTTACTATTTCAAGACACTGAGAAAGTTCAGGAGCCCTGGTAGCACAGTGGTTAAGAGCTCGGCTGCTAACCAAAAGGTTGGCAGTTCAAATCCACCAGCTGCTCCTTGGTGAGAAAGTTCAGAATCAAAGAATATTAGAGCTTTTAAAAAAGGCTTAAAGCAGAACTGATTCAAACAGTCCAAGACATGGACAGATACTACCAAAAGGAATTTTTAGACACTAAAAACCTTCAGTCTTCATTTAGAGCTTGTTCCTTCTCTTAATACATTATTCTTATCCTTTAAATATCCTTTCTTGCTTTAAATTTCCCCTGGCTCCTGAGACTCGATTCATTCGCTAAGCAGGAAATAATGTTATTCTACTCTTCAGAGTTCTTTATACTCTTGAAGACAATTTTTACTCTTCTTTGTTTATTAATATATTTTTAGTATATAATTAGTATTAGGTTTACTTCTGTGGATCATTTATTTTTCTTTTATAATTGCTGAGTTGTAATATTTTGACAGTTATTTCCTCTGGATTCTTTTTGTCACTCAGTCTTTTTTTTTTTTTTTTGACTGAAAAGTGGGAATGAATGGGAATGAAAATTAAGAACTTCTGAGTTACAGGGAAGAATTTTCCAATGAGTTCTAGGCCTTTTCCAGCCCTAGAGATTTAAGATGAAGAATTTTGACACTTCAGAACGTTGCTAGAGGGTAGATATTTTGCCTAATTTAAAGAAGAGGAAACAGGCTTGTAACAGTTAAGTAACTTGCGAAGGTGTCAGAGCTAATAAATGGTAGAAAGAAAATTCAAACTCAGGTCTGTCTGATTCCAAAGTCTCTGTTCTTTCCATCATTATACATCATAGTGTCAACACTGGCCTGTTTTCCATCTAATTCTCACCTCCAGATTTCTTTTCCTCCACTCATTTGGCTGAATATGTCTCTAATAATTATGATAATATGAGATAAATTTCATTAGAGCTAACTTTAAGAAAACCAAATTCTCTTAAGCAAGTATTTGAATAGTCTAAGTTCTTTAGCTGGTGTATAAATATTTTTTTGTTGCAAAGAGATTTTTGATATAATGGCTTTTCTTTTTTTGATAACAAGATATAAGACATCCATATTTGAGAGACTGAAATGCATGTTGAGTAAATTGCTATGGGTTAGATGGCTGTAGATGTGCAAAACATTTGAACAAGGAATAAGGAAAAGAAAAGAAACTAACCTTTGACTTTGGGATTTCTTGCAGGCATTCTGCAAAGGCTCACTTATCTTGGAACACTTGGATGTCTCTTATTGTCCCCAGCTGTCAGACGAGATTATCAAAGCACTAGCCATTTACTGCATTAGCCTCACATCTCTCAGCATTGCTGGATGTCCAAAGGTATGTGCAAGAGTCAGCGCGCAGACAGGCCAAATTGAAGCGCTACAAAGAACCCAGGTAGGGCAGCAGGCAGGGGCTGAACTTAACACAGAACTTGTTTCTTTTGCCATGTCTGAGGCATTGATTTTTTTCTCTCTCCCCAAATTGAAAATAGCTTTATGATTTCATTTGTATCAAAGAAGAATTCTCAAAAAGTTTAAGACATAACTCTCATACAGATATACAATAAATGTGTCAAATGTTTAATTAATTAATGAGAGAACCAGCAGAATGGTAAAGACAGTTCATAGAACACTGGAATGAACTGAGTATTATAGACATTGAAGAAAAAATGTCGGAATATGATTGTTAGGTTAGATCCAAAATTGGTTAATGTTCAGGCAATAAAATCATAACCTTGGGGTTATATTTTCTACCAGACAGAAATAATTTGCATCTCTCCTGGACAAAATATAAAAAGTTAACATGTAACTTCACTGCCTCTGGGCCCTAATCAATAGTAAACAGTATGTCAAACAAAAGTATAAATCCCTATAGAATTCTTTGGGTGGGCCTGTTAAACAATGTCCCAGTACAACACTGAAAGGACATATAATCATCTTTTTGTCTTATTTTCAAGTTTTTGATAATTTTTCGTGATATCTGTTTATAAAAGAAATACTCACTGTAATGAACTTAGACTACTGTGATGGTTAAGATTGTATGTCAACTTGGCTAGACCATTATTCTCAGTGTTTTCATAGTTGTATAATGTTGTGATCACCCCCATGATGGAATCAGCTGAGTGGTACTGGCGGAGGCGGGGCCTGTGACAGCTCACCGCCCTCTCAGTTTCATCTCTCTGCCTTCCGCCAGTTACTTTCTGCCTGCTCACCTTGCCAAGGTTTTTGGCTTGTTCCAGACTCAGCAGCTGCCTCTTGTCTCACCTCTGGTTTGTGGGACTTGAGCTAGCAACTTACCTGTTGATCTTGGAATTCGTCGAACTTCTCAGCCTGCGAGCAAGAGTCCGGTTCCCCGACCTGCTGACCTGGGGTTTGCCAGCCCCTGCAGCTACATGCATCAGGAGAAACCTGCGGTCTTGTCTGCCAATCTTGGAATTCATTGACCTTCACAGCCTGTGAGCGGGAGCCCCTCTCCGACCTGCCGACCTTGGGTTCACCAGCTTCTGCGGCTATGTGAACTGGGAAAGGCCTCTACCCTGATCTGTGGACTTGGGATGTTTTAGCCTCTACAATTACGTGAGCTATTTCCTTGATATAAATCTCTCTATATATATATTTATATGTTTTACTGGTTTTGCTTCTCTAGAGAACCCAGCCTAAGACAACTACATAGAAAATCGTAAAGGAAAAAGTAAAAATCTGCTGTCATCCAGATATAATCCGTGTTAGCATTTTATACTTATTTTTCCAGAATTTTTTTCTATGTACAAAGAGATTAGAAATAATTATAGAAGGCTTTTGTTTTGTCTTGTTTTTTAAGAATAGAATCATACATTCCAAAAATACATTGTAACCACTTTCTTTTTATTTAGTATACTATGGGTATATCTCTGTCAAGAAATAGAGATCTCACATTCTGGATTAATATGGCAGATTCAATATACACATGCAATTTTGTTCCCTCTTGAACCCTACCAAACTACAGCAGAGGGGCAAGGGCCCATGTAGTTAGGGAAAACATGAGATGAGACAAGAGCAACAAAATTTTGGAAGCTTGAAAAGAGGTAGACTAATTTAGCAGACCAGAAATAGTTTTGAATCCCAAGCCAACAATAGAGAACGCTGAACAATCTGATGTACACTAAATCTTCAAAACCCTCAGGACCTTGGCAGCTTCATGCACTTATTGAGCTGGGTTAAGAGGGGGATCAACAATCAATGCTCATTGAAGCAGAGTCAAGAAATCAACAACATATTGTATTGGGCAAGTCTGTTGCAAAGACCTCTTTAAAGTGTTAAAAAGCGAAGATGTCACTTTGATGACTACAGTGCACCTGATTCAATGCCTCAATCACCTCATATGCATCCGAAAACTGGACAATGAATAAGGAAGACCAAAGAAAAATTGACTCATTTGAATTATGGTGTTGGCGAAGATACTGACTCTACGTGGACTGCCAGAAGAAAGAACAAATCTGTCCTGGAAGAAGTACAGGCAGACCGTTCCTTAGAAGTGAGGACTTTGTCTTGCTTACTTTGGACATGTTATCAGGAGGGACCAATCTCTGGAGAAGGACATCATACTTGGTAAAGTAGAGGGTCAGTAAAAGAGAGGAACACCTTTGTTATGGATTGGATTGTGTTCCCCAAAATAATGTGTTATAAATTCTACTATACCTGTGGTTATAATCCCATCTGGAAATGGGTTTTCTTTGTTATGTTAATGATATAGTATTAGTGTCTTAAGTCAATCCCTTTTGAGATATAAGCGAACAGATTAAGCAAGCATAGATGGGGTAGATACCATACCACATGAAGATCGCCAAGGAACCAAGAAACAGAAGCTGAAAAGAGACAAGGACCTTCCCACAGAGCTGACAGAAAGCTTTCTCCTACAGCCAGTGTCCTGAATTTCAACTTCTAGCCTCCTAAACTGTGAGAAAATACATTTCTGTTTGGTAAAGCCACCCACTTGTGGTATTTTTGTTACAGCAGCACTGGCTAACTAAGACAACCTTCAACAAGATGGACTGACAGAATGGCTGCAACAGTGGGCTCAAACATAGCAAAGATTGTGAGGATGGTGCAGGACTGGGCAATGTTTCGTTCTGTTGTACACAGTGTTGCTCTGAGTTGGAACTGAGCAACTTGCTGGCACCTAACAACAATGACAAGAGGACTGGTTGAGAAGCAAATAGATCCCTAGATCCCCTCCCTTGCTTCGCACCACTGAGCAGTTGTCTCTCCCCACCCTCAAGAGAAACCTGGAGATTTATTTCCTAAAGTGGGGTTTTCCACCTTGGAACTATTGATATTTTGGATTGGATAATTCTTTGTAGTGGGGGATTGTCCTGTGCATTGTAGAATGATTAAAAGCATCCTTGCCCTTAACCCACTAGATGTCAACAGAAGCCCTCTTTCCCAATTGTGACAGTCAAAAATGTCTCCAAATATTGCCAGATGTCCCCTGGCGGACAAAATCATTCCTGGTTGAGAATCACTGCTCTAGAGACAGTAAAACAGAGCGTTTCTGGGCTGGGAGACACCTGGCATAATTAAGGACTTGAGTACAAAAGTGGAAAGGGGAATTAAGTGACTGAATGTTGAATGTGGAGATGCGCAGACACCTCTTCCAACTCAGCACCCAGAACTTGGCAGCCAGTTCTTTCCGTCCAGGTGGGTGATTGGAAGCTTTTTCTCTGGGGACCCTGACCATCCCAAGATGAAAGACATAAAATCACCAACATTTGGAAGTTTCCCAATGAATAACCCACCTAGACGATCCTTCCTGGAAGCCTAGACTAGAGAAACCCAACAGCAGGATTCAGACCTTCCAATCACTTTTTACTGCCGCAACATCAAATCAAGGATTACCAGCCATAAGGAAAGCCTCTAGAATTGAAGATAAAGACTAAAACAACAAATTGATAGGAGGAACTTTGAGGAAACAAAATATGCAGAAAAAGAAAACTACAAAAAAAAAAATTTTTTTTAAATCCTTATTACAACCTTGTTCTCCTCTGTTGTGCACACTGATAGGCTTTATTTATTAAAGCATCACGTCAACTCTCAAGACCCCCTACACTCTAGCTAGTCTAGAAATTTGGCTTCTCAGTTGTTCCATTTGTGTATTGAATGATTTAAAAGAATGATGCTAAAATCTCTTAACTCCTCCACAGCTAATTGTGCCACAGTGACACTGGGGAAAATGACATGGTAAACCATGACAAAATGAAGCCAGAAAGTTCACAGCAAAACTCTTTATGTTTAACTAACACATTTAGAATTAGGGAAACCAAGGGACTTCCGGCAACATGGCGCTCTAGGCAGAAGCACCATGCCATCCCTCCACAGCAAAGATCTGAAAAACTAAGCCAAACAGAGAAAACAGCAATCCTGAAACCCTAAACATCAAATGAAGAGATAAAGAACTCAGCCAAGCACCAAATGGAATAAGAAACTGACAGAGAACAGAGAGCAAGGAGACATACACGCAGAGGTCCCCTATCAGCTAACACAGCACAGATCTGCCATCTTGGACTCCTATCAGAGACCAGTGAATGGGGGTACAAGAAAGCACCTTCATGGAGCTTCCAGCAGGACAGAACAACCAGTAAACAGTGATATATGCTTTCCCAACCCCACCCTTCTTCACCACCACTCAGCCTCTTCTGCTTCTTGCAGCCACAGGCTCTTTCAGGGAAGCACCAGCTGCTTGGATTCCACCTGCCTGCACTGGTCGACTCCCTGTGTGCCATTTGTTGGCTGCTGGTGTTGCTTTCTTCCACTTCTTTAGATTTCTTCCTTACATCTAACCACTTCCCCCTACTTTCTCTCAAATAACTGGCTCTGTGTGCCATCTTTGCTTCTTCCTGAGGGGCTGTGGAGCTCCACTCGAGTGTGGAACTGCTTCCCAGTCTGTGCTGCCACACTGGTGGGATCCCAGGGTTTTGTTTGTTTGTTTTGAATTGTTTGTTTGGCTTCTTTTTCTTTTCTCGAGTTGGGAGGCCGTTCTGGCCAGCAGTGCTGTGCGGTTGGGACCTACCCCCTCAGCTTGCGCAGATGCGCAGAGGGATCCCTGAGCGCATTTCTTTTTTAATGGTTTTTTTTTCCCGTTTTTGGGGGGAGTTTTCTTGTTCTTTTTTTTTTTTTAAATTTGTTTTGTTTTCTTTTCCCTCTTTTTCCCTTTTTGTCTTTCTTCATTACTCACTTTCTCGTCTATACCTTCTTTCTCTTCCTGTCCACTTAATACCCAGCACTGAGTGACACCTCTACGCCTTCTAGCCAGGCTGTACTTCAACACCTGGTAACAACTTCACCAGACCTCATAGCCACACC